GCCTTTTTCAGCCAAATGATTCTCAACTTTCTGGAAATCGAGTGATCTTGCACTCATTATTGATGATGGTCCTAATAGCTTTTGTTTATGATCGTTAGTATCTATGTTACTGTATTAGGATTTAAAAACTGCATTTACTATAATTATGCATTTAAGGAATAATATAAACAAGCCCAAGCACGGTGGCTCACGCCTGTAATCCCAGCATTTTGGAGCTGAGGCTGGACCGATCACCTGAGGGTCGGGAGTTTCGAGACCGTGTGGCAACACAGTGAAAACCTGTCTCTTACTAAAAATACAAAAAATTCAGCCAGTGTGGTGGGCCGGCCTGTAGCCCAGGACTCGGGAAGGCTGAGGCAGTGGAGACGCTTGAAACCCGGGAGGTGGAGGTTGCAGTGAGCTTAGATCGCACCACTGCCACTCCAGCACTGGGCGATGGAGTGAAGATTCTGTCTCAAATAAATAATAAAAACAAAAACCTTTTTCTGAAAGAAAATTTCGAGCTAAGTGGCTTTTTTATTAATAGAGAAAGTCAGAATTACAAAGGACTTAGGAAGAAGGGCATTGGGGGCCTTCTTCTTGCCAAAGACGGGCACAACGTTGACAAACGCCGCTTGCACCGCATCCGCGGCTCAGCCCGGCCTGTCTTCTTCCCGTGCGGCCACCTGAGTGAGAGTCTGACCTGTCGCTTTCCCAGCGCGGCCGGGGAACCACGGACGTGGCCTCCCGGCATGGGGCCTGCGGCTTCCCGGGCAGTCACGGCCTCCCCCCGGCCCTGGTCCAGGGGCGCGCCTGCCAGGAGCACGGTCCATCTTCCGGGGCGAGGCCCTCCAGTGGCGCAGCCGCCGCCACCCGGGAGACCGTCTCCGGGCCGGTCCCCTGCAGGGCAGGAAGCTCCGGGGCGCGGACCCAGAACTGCAGGTTGGCGACTGAACCGCGCTTCCGGCTGCCGCCACCGCCAAGATGGAGTCGAAGAGGAAGGAGCCGGGGCGCTCGCGTCCGGACCGCGGGCTGCGCCTCACGTCACTCCTAAGATTTTATTTCGGAAACAAAATTATTGAGAAGGAACCAGGGCGCTCGCGTCCGGACCGCGGGCTGCGCCTCACGTCACTCCTAAGATTTTATTTCGGAAACAAAATTATTGAGAAGGAACCAGGGCGCTCCCGTCCGGACCGCGGGCTGCGCCTCACGTCACTCCTAAAGTTTTATTTCGGAAACAAAATTACTGAGAAGGAGCCAGGGCGCTCCCGTCCGGACCGCGGGCTGCGCCTCACGTCACTCCTAAAATTTTATTTTGGAAACGAAATTATTGAGAAGAGTGGCTTGGTTTCACTGTTTTGCAAATCTGTTTAATGGATGGCTTCTTAGAAGAGCTGTTTTTGGCCCGGCGGCGCGGTGGCTCACGCCTGGAATCCCAGCACTTTGGGAGGTCGAGGCGGGCAGATCACGAGGTCAGGAGATGAGACCATCCTGGCCAACACGGTGAAACCCCGTCTCTACTGAAAATACAAAAAAAAATTAGCTGGGCATGAAAGGGCGCACCTGTAATCCCAGCTACTCAGGAGGCTGAGGCAGGAGAACGGCGGGAACCCGGGAGGCGGAGCTTGCAGTGAGCCGAGATCGCGCCACCGCACTCCAGCCTGGGGGACAAAGCGAGACTCCGTCTCAAAAAAAAAGAGGAGCTGTTTTCACTTCTTCGCTTCCCCATTCCTTCTGTTGCAGTGTGTTTTGAGCCGCCTTGTAGTCCCAGCTACTCCAGAAGCTGAGGCGGGAGGATCGCCGGAGCCCAGGAGTTCACCAGAAGCTGCAGTGAGCTGTGGTCACCCCACTGTACTCCAGACTGGGCGACAGAGCAAGACCCTGTCTCTCAAAGGGAAAGTATTTTAATAACTTTTTCAACTAGTTGTGGGTTTTTTCTGTAATTCTATCAATGAACTTCTTTCGTACGATGCCTTTTGAGCAGTTTTCCCCCAGATGACTCATAGGTGCGTGCTGTTCCTTGTAATTAATTTTCAGCCTATTGCTCAAGATCGTCAGAAGACCTGAGGGAGCCCCGCTGATCTTACAACACTGGCCTAACTCTGTCTTTTCCCCAAGCAGGCAGCCGCCAGAAGTTTGTTGGATTTGAGGAGTCCAGAGCGCCGACCCGCTCTGTCTGCGTGGACTATTTCCTTGGATCTTTGTGGACCCTGAAGTTGCCAAGTGTGTGTGCCTGCTCCAGAAAACAAAGGAAGCCACCATTGTTTCTCATTCCGAGTGCAGGGAAATATCTCAGCAGAAGCAAACAGTCCAGTCTTCAACACCTACCAGGATGTCCAAAAGGCTCAGCCCTCAGTTACAGCACATCACGGAAGATGCCTGTTGTGAAGCACACCTGGAACCGATACAGCTGTTCTGTGATGTTGACCAAATCACACTCTGCAGCAAATGCTTCCAGTCCCAGGAGCACAAACATCACACGGTGTGTGGGATACAAGAGGCTGCTGAGAATTACAGGGTAAGAGTCTCGCAAATCCCAAAACCCTCTGGCCAACTCCTATATGGATGAAACGGACAGATATTCCAGTCCTCCAAAACCATGATCTTAGTCGATGTTTATTAAAGAATATTAGATAAGTTCATTGAACCTTCAACCTAAAGGCTAAGAAAATATATACTCAGAGTTGCTGGCTGTTGAACTCTAGGAATCCAACTGTTGTTGTAAATCAATGATCTCACCTGGAATTCTGTGCTTTCTGTCTAGAAGTTATTCCAGGAAATATTGAACACATCGAGGGAGAAACTTGAAGCAGCTAAAAGCATATTGACTGATGAGCAAGAAAGAATGGCGATGATTCAGGTCAGTGCTTATCGTGATTCTTGGGGGAAAATTACCAGTAATGTTGTCAGAAAATAGTGTATCATAAACAAAGTCAAAAGACAAATCACAAAGCAGGAAAAACGTGAAATCTATAGGAAGGAAAAGTGCTAATATCTTAATGTATAAAAAACTTTTTAAAGTCAGTAAGAGGCTAGGCGCGGTGGCTCATGCCTGTAATCCCAGCACTTTGGGAGGCTGAGGAGGGCGAATCACTTGAGGTCAGGAGTTTGAGACCAGCCTGGCCAACATGGTGGAACTCCGTCTCTGCTAAAAATAGCTGGGCGTGGTTCCACTAGCCTGTAACCCCAGCTATTCGGGAGGCTGAGGCAGGAGAATCGCTTGAACCAGGAGAGGAGGCAGAGACTGCAGTGAGCTGAGATCACACTACTGGACTCCAGCCTGGGCCCCAGAGCAAGAATCCGTCTCAAAAAAAATAAATAAATAAAAATAAATCAGTAAGAAAAAGACTAGAAACTTAATTTTAAATAATGATCAAATAAGAGTTTGCAGAAAAGAAAGTGTAAATATATTTTAAATACATTGAAAGAATCTGAACTTTTGTTCATGGTAAGAGAAATACAAATTATATTGTGAGTAAAATGGCATTTGCAATGCTATTTGCAACGATCAGAAAGATTAGTGACACCATTCGGAACAATGACATAGGAGAAGGAGCATCTCTTGTACTTTTGGTTGCCACATAAATTCTGAAACCCTTTAAAGAGCGATTTGAGAATTGCTATCCAGATTTGAGGGTTCACCACCTGTTAGGCACATTTCACTTCTAATTTCAGACCATGTCTTCATACTTAATCTTATTCTGTGCAAGGTATCCCCGATTCTGGGTCTTTTCTTTCCCTCAGTTTTTAAAGGAAGTAAATGCCTAGTTGGGGAAGATAGTGGAGGAGAATTGCCTGGCTAAGCAAGAATTTTTCAGCTAATCCCCCCTTTTTTTTAAGTTTCAAGCACCACATGTTCAGCAAATACTGAGATCTCACTGTTTGCCAGGAACTATGCAAGCTGCTAGGGGTGCGTCAATGGAAAACAAAAAAAAACCAGTTCTGATTTTGTGGAACTTAAATTCTAGTGGAAGTAAACAAAATAAGTTTAATGTGTAGTGTTTTTTGTTTTTTTTTTTTTTGAGACGGAGTCTCGCTCTGTCGCCCAGGCTGGAGTGCAGTGGCACCATCTCAGCTCACTGCAAGCTCCGCCTCCCGGGTTCAAGCAATTCTCCTGCCTTAGCCTCCCAAGTAGCTGGGACTACAGGCGCCCGCCACCTCGCCCGACTAGTTTTTTGTATTTTTTTAGTAGAGACGGGGTTTCACCGAGTTACCCAGGATGGTCTTGATCTCCTGACCTCGTGATCCGCCCGTCTCAGCCTCCCAAAGTGCTGGGATTACAGGCTTGAGCCACCGTGCGCGGCCTGATGTATAGTATGTTACATGGGAAATGTTTAAAAAAAATTTTTTAAGTGAGAAAGAAAGCAATGGAGTGAGCTTTTAAATAAAGTGATCAGAACCTTGTTATTCAGAAGGTGGCACCGAAGGAGGTGAGGGAT